GTCCAGGGACGTACAGGCTTGGTGGATCAGCTATGGGCAATGCGGGGTTACAGGGATAGGGTGGGTCTAGATGGGATGCTGTTTGGAGGTTCGGTGCAGACTCGATAGGCCACACGGTAGGGACTCTATGATTCTATGAATCAGGTTTGGCCGTGGTGCCACCCTTTATAGGTAAATAGTCTGCTAGTATTCATCCTTAATGGTCTCATGATCAGAGAACAATGAACCACCTTGGAACAACAGCCTACCAAAAGGTCAGTAGGCAAAACTAGCAGAGAAGCTTTATGTGGAAAATAAAAGTAAACTTACCAAAGGTTAAATTATTACAGCTGAACTAAACAGCAGTTGTTGACACTTTCTTTCTTTAGCAAATGTTGATTCTATTAAGCTCCTCTAAGCAGTCTTTTAATACAGTTAGGCATAATCTAATCACCAGTCTTAAATGATTTCTTTCAGTTTAATGAGATACTATTGATCTCAGTTAACTGAATGAAGCTGTATGGGAGCTTTTGATTGGTCTTTTGTTTACTTGTTAAATTATTTTGTTTTTAACTGACTGATGGCAAAATGGTAAATTCAATCTTTGTTGAATATATATTGCACACAAACAGTAATGGGCCAGAATTTAGAAAACATTTAAGAGAAGTTTGTTTACATGTCTCCAGTTAACATTTAGATGAATATGACTTTGACCTTAATGGCTGACCTGATCAGAATAAATGGCCTCTTTTAAATGACAGTTTGTGCTGCATTACTTTGAAAAGACTTTGGGAAAAATCTTACGCTGCACTCACTAGGAGTGGGAAACAAAGTGGGCAGGAGAACTTAATCATGTAAGACAGCAAAAGTCAGATTTTCAATGGCAAGATGAAAGTTTGCAGTTATATTTTTGGAACTTTAAACATAGGTCAAGCTTCTTAATGATAAGTATTAGGAAAAATGTTTGTGTGTATTTGAATATTGTGATAAAGTCCCACACAGGAAGCTAGAAAACAAAACAACATATCAGATTGAGGATTGTTTAACTGGCAGAAAGCAGAGAGTAGGAAGAAATGGATCATTCTCAGATTGGCACACTGTGACCTGTGGGTTACAGCAGGGATACATGCCGAGGCCCCCACCTGCTTATAATCTATATCAATGATTTGGATCTGAGAACCAATTGTAGTATGTCTAAATTTGCAGATGATGCAAAACTTGGTGAGAAATAAATTGTGAGGTGGATGCATTCAGGGTTATTGAGCAAGAGCATATGGGATATAATGCGATATGTAAGGAATGATCCTCTTTGCTGGGGTACTTCTTAAATGGTAAGAGATTGAAAGATGTTGGTGTCCAAAGGGACCTAGATGTCCTTGTTCATAAATCACTAAAAGCTAGTATGCAGGTTTAGCAAGCAACTTGAAAAGCAGTTGTTATGTCAGCCTTTATTGCAACAAGATTTGAGATAATAACCAAAGAAGTCTTGCTTTACTTGTGTAGAACTTCAGTGAGTATTGTTTGTAGTTCTGGTCACCTTGCTTAGGAAAGGAAAGACTTGCGACAGACGGAGTGCAGCAGAGGTTCACAGAAGTCATTCCAGTTGTGGAACTGTTGTTTAAGGAGAATAGGCCTGGCTTTTAGAAGAAGTGGTCAGCTTGTAGGAAGTGACAACATTCTTAAAGGGACAGATGGAATAGATCTAGAAAAGATGTTTCCATTGGCTGTGGCATCTGCAACCAGGCAACACAGTCTCAAAACAAAATCCGTGGCATTTAGAACTAGGATCAGGAGCTTCTTCACTCAGGGGGTGGTGAATCTTCTGAATTGTCTACCCTGGAGGCATACAGAAGATTAGTCATTAAGTAAGTGCAAATCAGAGGTTGATAGATTCCTAGTTACTAATGAAATCAATGAATGTGGAGATGGCACAGGAATATAGCATTTATGTGGATAATCAAGCATAATGTAGAATGTTGAGGTTGGTTGGCTCGCTGAGCTGGTTTGTTGTTCCGCAGATTTTTCATTACCCTGCTGGGTAACATCCTCAGTGCAGCCTCTGATGAAGCGTCGGTGTGTTTTCCTGCCTGGTTTTTAAACTCTCGAGTCCGTTGAGCTGGATTGCCTCACTTCCGGTTTTCCTTCGTAGTGGAGTGTATATGGAGTCGAGTTCTATGTGTTTATTAATGGCTTTCTTCTTGGAGTACTAGGTTTCTAGGAATTCCCGTGCCTGTCTCTGCTTAGCTTGTCCCAAGATTTTGGTGTTGTCCCAGAACAGAAAGTGGTCAATTAAGATTTTTAATTTTAAAAAAAAATATATCAGTTTATGAAAAATGGAGGTAAATTAGTAGAAGTTGCTTTGTTTCATTCTGGTATGGTAAAAGTCATTTAAATGTGACATCGTGGTGTAATTTCTTTCAGTTAATAGCTGGGACTTTGGATTTCTTTTTGAACTTAACTGACAGCAAGAATCATTTACAGTGGTTTCCCACTAACAATGTCCCTCTAGCTAACCTAGCTGGAAACAACTAACAAGGAACATCAGCGGTGAAACCATTCTGGATCTTTCCTGGTTTACATGATGCAACTAGCCACTGAATAACCTTGGTGAGCTAGCAGTGACATTTGATTGAATATCCTGACGTGAAATAATAGGTCTAATATGATATTAAAACATGGAAAATCCAGTGGAACTTTTACACCATGGTGACTTGTTCACTTTGCTTTACATTAATTTAACATTTAACAGGGGCTACACTAAAATAAAATCACAAGCTAAACAATATGAAATATCTCAATTCGAATCGAACTCCTCCAGTATAATATTATCCTGATTAATAGAATCCCCAAGTGAAATGCTGTTTGGCAGAACATGCTCTTCATGTTTTCATGAGGGTTCATTGTCTAACATTTTCAGCAGAGTTTAATCACAACAGTGAAATCACACACGTTCTATGCCCCCTATGCCTATCCCATCTTGCGGGTTTCAGTTAAGGTTTGGTCTTGTAGCTGAGTGATGACAAAACTATACACAAAAAAAGGATTTGCATTTTATAGCACTTTTCATGACCACTAGAAACTGCATACAGTATGACAAACACTCACACACAACAATGCTACCCTAACCTGATACTCTGTTTCTCTGATGTTGTTTAAGGGATAAAATTACTGGAAAATATATTGAATTCTATTGACTGTTGTTGCTGCCACTTTAATCAGCAATTACAGATTCATAACATTGGCAAAGATCCATTCAACCTACCCTGCCTATGCCACTTCTTTGAAAGAACTATCCAATTAGACCTACTTCGCTGTCCTGTCCCTAAATCCCCACAAAATTTTCCCCTTGAAGTACTTGTCTAATGTGATGAAAGTTATGACTGAACCTGCTCCCTGCCCCCTTTTCAGTGGTGAATTACATGTTGCTGCATAAATGTTGTTTTTCTCCTGTCACTGTGGTTATTTTGCCAACTACCTTAGAAATCGTAGAATTCCTACATGTGGAAGTAGGCCGTTTGGCCCATCAAGTCTCCAAAGAGCATTCCATCCAATCCCTGTAACCCTACATATCCCCTTTCTAATTCACCTAACCTGCAGAGCTTTGGACTGTGAGAGGAAACTAGAGCACCCAGTGGAATTATTTGTCTCTGGTTTGTGGATCTTACAAGACAAACAGTTTCCCTATTATTATTCAACGGAAGTCCTTCATTATTTTAAACACCTCTGTTATGTCTCTGCTCTTTGTAGAACAATCCAAATTGATTGAGTCTCTTCAAGTAACCAAAGCCTTTCACCCCACTCTAATTCTAGGAAACTTACTTTGAACTTCTTCTAAGGCTTTGACATCTTTCCTAAAGTGTGTGTCCAGTACTGATTGCAATACTTCAGCTAGGGGTTGGGTCAACTTTTCATAAAGTTTAAACACAAAGCAGGAGAAATCACCACCTTCATAAAAGGTGAAGTAAATCACTGATTCACGCTGTCATAGTTCTCAGGTGAGGCTCTCAGGATGTAAAACTGGATGGAGGTTGGCACTGGTGGAATGATACTCAGACCATCAAATTTGCTCTAGCATCCAATGGCTGATTGGATTATCCTTAACTCCATTTGCCTGCATTTTCCCCATAATCCTGGACTCCCTTGCTGATTAAAAATCTGTCTATCTCAACCTTCAATATCCTTAATGATTCAGTCTCGACAATCCTCTGCAATAGATTCACTACCTTCTGAGAGAAAAAAAATCCTGCTCATCTCTGTCTAAAATGCATAAACTTACTCTAAGTTTATACCCTCTGGTCCTAGATTGTCCCACAAGAGAAAGCAGCCTTTCTGTACTTATCTTATCAAAAACTCCAAGAATCTTATGTTTCTATAGGTCTCCTCTCATTTCCCTAAACTTCAACGAATACAAACCCAAACTACTCAAACTTTCCTCCGGAATCAACCTTGTAAACCTTCACTGGGCTACCTCCTATCTTCAGATAAAGGGGCCCAAAAGTGTTTAGGTGTGGTCTGAATTGCAGCATGTATAGTTTTAGCGAGACATCTCTATTTTTATGTTGTCTTACTTTTGAAATAAAGGCCACTATTCCCTATGACCAGCTGAACTTGAGTACTAACTTTTTGAACTTTATGCATGAGGACCCCCAAATTACTTTGTGCTGCAGCTCTCTGCAGTCTTTCCCCATTTAAATTACATTCATTCTTTCGATTCTCCACGTCAAGGCACTCCAGGAGGGACTGAAGGACTTCAATCTATACTGTACTTAACTCAGGATATTTCAAGGACCTTTACAGCTAATTGAGTACTTCTGAAGTATAGCTACTGGTTTAATGTAGAAAGCTATGATTTAGGGCAGGTTTTAAAGCATTATTTGGAGGATGCATTTGCCAGAGGACTAAGATTATTGAGCAAGTAAAGGATTCTATGGTACCTGTTTGCCAAAAAATTCAGCTGTGAACTGCATTTGGTGACAGGGTCGATCTGCAGAACTCTAACAGCCGCTTTTGTTTTTCCACAGAGTGGAATTATTGCTGATGCGCGTTTGAAGGAACTGACGCCAACAATGCCAGTAATTTTCATCAAAGCTATTCCCGTGGACAAGCAGGATACTCGCAACTTGTACCCTTGCCCAGTCTACAAAACACGCCTCCGAGGCCCAACATACGTCTGGACATTCAACCTGAAAACCAAGGAAAAACCATCCAAGTGGGTGCTGGCTGGAGTTTCACTGCTTCTGCAGATTTAGGCAGGAGGGTTTGTTCATTCTTCCCAACACTGGCAGAAAAGACTACTCAGTAATGCACACTTGAATTTAGACCTCTCAATTTAGTATAAAGATTAATAGATTTTTGTCAGCAATATTAAAAGAAATGATTTAACAGGGTTTAACAGTTCTGTGAATACTTGGAGCAAACTTTGCACTTCATTTGTGATTTCTCAATTTGAGTCACATACGAATATAATTTGTTACTCTCATGTATGTGTAACTTAAATGCCTTTTTTCTAAATAAAGTGCATTTTCAAATCCTCTGATAACGGTGATTTATATGATGCACATTTGGATCTTGCTCCCAGTTGATTTTACACTGTGAAATTAATGAGTAAATACAACACAGTATGCTGGCACTATCTTTTGTTAAGTGTGAACATAAAGCTTCCTGGATGATATAAATCTTGATGGTGGAACTGTTAACTGTTTTACCTTCACAACTTAGGAGTTTCTGTGAAAGAAACACATATGAATATTTAATTGAGTAAGCTGCAAACCAGAAGTTTGATAACACTCAAAGAATGGCCAATATAAAAACATTGGCATAAGTACAAGAGGCTGGTAAATACATTATCAGCAGTTTCTATAATAAGCTGGCAGAAAATGCAGAATTCTTTCATCTTGGCTATTTGGCACTCTAATGAATTTCTTTGCATGATTTTAAAATTTTCATGCCCATCTCCAGAGATCTCAGGTTTACTCGGAATATAGCCTTTCGCACATGAAACATTGCTTCATCCCAGAGCCAACACAGACTGAATCAACAAACAAGGTTGATGTGGAGGGCATTATAGCTGGGTAAACCCATGTTCTAAATTGATGTGCACAGATCTGTAGTCATGGCCAAGATCTTAAGACCAAGGATTAGAAATCCCTTAAGGTCTCTCGTTTCAAATCTGGGCGACTACTTTACAGCTCGTTCCTGATTTAAGAGGCTTTTGTGGCCCATGGTAGTGTCCATACCTCTAAGCCAGAAGGTCTGGTTCAAGTCCTACCTGCCATGGAAGTGTATCAAAACATGTACAAACGGGATGATTGTCAATAAATACATATTCCAGCTGTATCGTGATCAAGACTGGTAAACCTTCCTCTTGTTTTCTCTCAGGCATTTTGTTTCTTGTCATTTTATCGGGAACTCATTACCAGACCCTTACTGTATGTTTTAGATTGGACACATTTTAGAATTGTGACAGTTTTTCTAGAACCAAAATATTCTTTAAATATTCATAAGTTCCATGGGTCTATAGCCATGGAGAATTCTAATTGTTGGGCAATTTAAAACAATTCAATTCACAATGTGATTTGATTAATATCTCTCTTAAAATGAACTTTGATGCCTGCTTGAAAATGTATATTGGAAGAAGGCCAGATAAATGTTACACTTAAACCATTCGCTCCTATTGAGCCAAAACTGATGCCTAAAGGGGATTGGAATCATACCTAGCAGGACGGAAGATGGTTGTCATTGTTGGAAGTTAATTATCTCAGCTCCAGGACACCTCTGTAGGAGTTCCTCAGGGTAGTGTTCTAGGCCCAAGCATCTTCAGTTGTTTCATTAATGAGACCCTGTATCATAAGGTCAGAAGTGGGAATATTCCTTGATGAGTAAACAATATTCAGTGCCATTTGCAACTTCTCAGATTCTGAAGCAGTTCATGACCACACACAGAATATTCAGTTTGGGCTGATAAGTAACAAGTTACGTTCACACCACACAAGTGCTAAGCAGTGAATATCTCCAACAAGATGGAAGCCGACCATTGCCCATTAACATTCAATGACATTGCTGTCAAAGAATCCCTCACTATCAACAGTCTGGGTTATAATTGACCAGAAACTGAACTGGACCACCCATAGAAACTCACTGACTCCTCAAAGTCTGTCTACCATCTACAAAGCACAAATCAGGAGTGTGATGGAATACTCTCCACTTGCCTGGATGAGTAAAACTCCAAAGGTACTCAAGAAACTTGACATCATCCAGAGCAAAGCAACCAGCTTGACTGGAATCCCACCTGACACTTTCATCATTCACTCTCTCCCAGACCAATGAATAATGGTAGCTATGTGTACTATCTACAAGATACACTTCAATAACTCACCAATACTACACAACAGCACCTTCCAATCCAGAAACCACCACCTAGACTACAAGAGCGGCTAATACAAGGAATACTATCAATTGAAAATCCCCTCCAAGCCACACACCATTCCTGACTTGGAACTTGTTATTCTTTAACTATCATTGGGTCAAAATCCTGAATTTCCTCCTATATCACACGGACGGTCTTTTTTTTTCTCTTTATTCATTCACAGGATTTATTGCCTATCCCTAATTGCCCAGAGGGCAGTTAAGAGTCAACCACATTGCTGTGGGTCTGGAGTCACATGTAGGCCAGACCAGGTAAGGATGGCAGTTTCCTTCCCTAAAGGGCATTAGTGAACTAGATGGGTCTTTTTCCCAAAATTGGCAATGGGTTCATGGTCATCATTAGATTATTAATTCCTGATATTTTTTGAAATCAAATTCCACCAGCTGCAGTGATGGGATTTGAACCCCAGTCCCCGGAATATTATCTGGTCTCTGAATTAACAGTCCAGCAATAATACCACTAGGTGGTCACCTCTCCTAATACCACACTGCAATAGTTCAAGAAGCAGGCTCACCACATTTTCTCAAGGGCAATCATGGATGCATAGTAAATGCTTGCCTAGCCAGGGATGCCCATATCCTGTGAATAAATAATCAAAAAAATCATATTCCAGGACCACATGGGCACATGGAGGTCCTTGAAAGGAAGATAAACAGTGAAAGAAAGTCCTCTTGTAGAGTCATGGAGCATGGAAACAAACCCTTCAGTCCGACTTGTTGATGCCAACCAAGTTTCCCAAACTAAACTCGTCCCATTTGCCTGCATTTAGCCCATATCCCTCCAAACCATTCCCATTCATGTACCTGTCCAAATGTCTTTTAAATGTTGTAACTGTACCTGCATCTACCACTTCCTCAGGCAGCTCATTCCACATAAAAATGACCCTCTGTGTAAAAAAGTCGGCAATCCAGTCCCTTTTACATCTTTCTCCTCTCACCATAAAAATACATCCCCTAGATTTGAGCCGCACTACCCTAGGGAAAAGATCTTTGCTATTCACCCTATCTATGCCCCTCCTGATTTTATAAACCTTTATAAGGTCACCCCTCAAATTCCTATGCTCCAGTGAAAAATTTCCCAGCCTATCCAGCCTCTCCTTATAACTCAAGCCCTCTATTCCCGGCAACATCCTTGTAAATCTTTTCTGATCCCTCTCCTCCCTAACATCCATTTATCCTACAAATGCTGTAACTGATAACTTTTGCCTTGGCCCCAGAGTGTAATCAACCACTTTGGATGGCCAAAGAAGTACTGCCCTTATCGTTCGAGAGATGTCACTTCCCAGAGGGAAAAACCAGTAAAACTGAAACCAGTGAAAATCCAGTAGCTTTGGTAGTTGAGCACTGCCATACAGTACTAATAAAATTCACAAGCAATACTGGTCATGTTATCAATAAAACTGGCCATAGTATAAGTAAGAGATAACTGGAGGAACACAGCAGGTCAAGCAGCATCAGAGGAGCAGGAAAGTCGATGTTTTGGGTTGTGTTCCTCCAGCTCCACACTGTGTTGTCTCTGACTCCAGCATCTGCAGTTCTTGCTATCTCCACAGTATAAGTAATACTGGTCATGGTGTCAATAATGCTTGTCATGGTAACAGTAATACTGGTCATCTTAATGGTAATACTAGCGATGGAAATGGTAAAACTGGTCATGGTATCCATAATACTGGTTATGGTATCAATTAATCAAAGCATATAGGAGGCCATTCAGCCCATTACGTAAATGCCTATTAGAGTAATCTACCTCATTTGACTCCCCCACAATTAACCTATAACCCTGATATTTTTTCTTCAGATGAAGTGCAGTGCAATATATCATAATCTAAATATTTCACATTAAACAATAAAAAAAGTTGTACAATACATTATCTATCCAATAACCCTTTGCATTACAAGATCCCAGCCCATAAGACTATAAAATGTAAGAGCAGAAGTAGGCTTTTCATCAAGTCTGCTCTGCTATTCAATGAGATCATGGCTGATCTGATAACAAACAGTCAACTCCACTTTTCTACTATTTCCCCATTATCCTTGTTTCCTTTACTGAACAAAAGTCTATCTTGAATATACTTAATGACCCAGACTCAATAGCCTTCTACAGTAAAAAAAATTCACAGATCCTCTAGTCTCTATGAGAAGAAATTCCTCCTCATCTCCGTCTCAAAAGTGCAACCTGTAATTCTGAAATGATGCCCTTTGGTCCTAGACTCTCCAACACAGGGAAAAAACCTTTCTCCATTTACCCTGTCAAATCCCCTAAGAATCTTGTATGTTTCAATATGTTCACTTCTCATTCTTCTATATTCCAATGAGAACAGGCCCAATCTACTCAACATCTGTAATGAGACAGTACCTCCATACTTAGTATCAGTATAGTTAATGTTCTCTGGACCACCTGCAATGCCAGTATATCTTTCCTTACATAAGGGACACAAAATTGTTGACGATTTTCCAGCTGTGATCTAACTAGTGCTTTGTATTGTTGAGCAAAACTTCCCTACTTTTATGTTCCATTCCTTTTGAAATAAACATCAACATTCCAATTACCTTCTGTATCACCCACTGAAACTGAATGCTGGCTTTTTGTGACTTGTGGATGAGATCTCCCAAATCCCTCTGTTCTGCAGCTTTCTGCAATATTTCTCTATTCAAATAATATTCAGCTCCTCTATTCTTCCTGCCAAAGTGTATAACCTTTCATTTCTCTACATTATATTTCATCTGCCAGGTGTTTGCCCACGCATATAATGTGTCTAGATCTCTCTACACACTCTTTATGTTATCCTCACCACTAGCCTTCCCATCTGTTTTTGTGTCATCTGCAAACTTGGCTATAGTACATTTACTTTCTTCATCCAAGCCATTATTGTATGTTGTAAATAATTGTGGGATAATTACTTCCCACCACTGGCTTCCAGTTCTTCCCCAGTCTCTATCACTCTAACACTTTCCCTACATGCATGACACATTTACTGAAGATTTATTGAGATCAAATGTAAGTGGTACCACATTGCTTGACTACATGTAACAGTTAATTTTAAAGTGCTATTCAGAGGAGTGGTTGTATCTCAGAAGCAGTGTGTCAACGTACCTTTAAGAGATACACTCATGATGTCATCACTGCATCACAGCATGTGTTGTGAGGGAATGACACTCTCATACTCCATCTTGTCTTGGATCACTTCAAGTATGATACTTCATCAGAAATATGCTCCTTTGTTATTACCTATTTGTTTAATATTAGCCCAAGTATTCAGGTTTCTGAAAAGGTTTGTATGTGCAGAATGTTTGCATATAATAGTTAGGTGTTATGAATGTCTATTGGATTTTTCAATACCATAATGGCCACACCCATTTTCTTATGTTATAGAAGGTAATATAAGCATTGCTGCATATGGTAAAGTACCCTGCTGGAGGAAAACCAGGAACAACACTGTCTTAATGGGAGCAATACTGGTGACTCCAGAAGACTCACCTCCTGAGGTAGGTTTCCAACTTGACTTTTAGTAGATAAGTTCCATCAGGATAAATGTGAATGGTTGTATGCAATACTGCTTCTTCTGCCTAACGTTTGCCATAACTAAAGGTGAGAAGACCTTTACTCGATTCAAAGGATGAGTGTACGATTGATCCATAATGACAGGACTGGTATAGATCCAATGGCAAATTAGTACACTGAGGAGCATTTTACCCAGAACCTCAGTAACAAGATGGAGAGAAGATAATGAATGTCTTTCCAGGGTAAACTTGCCTATTTATTTCCCATTCTTGCCACCTCCAGAGAGGGGAAAATTGTGCTTTGAACTTAAAACGCATTCATATAAAATATACCAGAATGTTGAGTGTTGAGGCAAGAAGGTACATGCTAAACAACATGGCCACTGTAAGTTCTATTTCTAAAATGAGGAAAAAAAATGGTATTTAAAAAAATCTTTCGTGGGGAGAAATTTTATGTTTAGTTACCGTCGAAGGCTGTTGGCTTTCATCACTTTAAATGTTTCACCTGCAACATGATGAATGGCTTAATCACTCACAGCTGAGAATGGTATTTTTCTTTGCAATCAGTACTTGGTTACCATTACACACTTATGATTTTCTTCATTTTAAATGTTCTTCATTTCAGTTACTGAGCCAAGGTAATTCTGAGCTTAAGCTCTATATCTTTTGCTTTTATTTATTCTTTTGTAATACCTGAAAATCATTGGCTAGATCAGCATTTATTGCTTATCCCTAAACATCCTTAATAAAGTGTTGAACGATTTTCTTGAACTACTGCAGTTCATGTGGTTTAAATACACCCACAGTGTTGTTCGCAAGGGAGTTTCAGGATTTTTATCCAGCGACAATAAAGGAACAAGTGATATAGGTTCAAGGCAGGATGATATGCAGCTTGTAAAGAAACTTGCAGGTGATAGTACTCCATTGCACCTATTGCCCTGTTTCTAGTAGGTGGTAAAGATCAGGTGTATAGAAGATGCTGTTAAAAGAGTCTGTGAGAGTTACTGAGATAGTAGGAACTGCAGATGCTGGAGAATCTGAGATAACAAGGTGTAGAGCTGGATGAACACGGCAGGCCAAGCAGCATCAGAGGAGCAGGAAGGCTGACATTTCGGGCCTAGACCCTTCTTCAGACCCTGCTCCTCTGATGCTGCTTGGCCTGCTGTGTTCTGTGAGAGTTACTGTTGTGTATCTTGTCAATAGCACACACTCCTTCCACTGAGTGTTGGTGATGGATGGGAGTGTATGCTGATGGTGGTGGGTGGTTTACTAATCAATCAAATAGGCTTCTTTATCTTGGGTGGTTTAAAATTGTTCAGTGTCAGAGCTGCACTCTTTCAGGCAAGTGGAGAGTTTTCATCACAGTCTTGACTTGTACCTTGTAGATAGCATTCAAGTGCTGGGGACTTGGGAAGTGAGTTTTTCCCACAGATGTCCCTGTCCCTGACCTGCTGTTGTAGTCATCGTATTGAAATTGCTGGTCCAGTTCAGTCTCTTTGAGTTTGGAACAGACCTCTGAAGCCATACAATGGAGGTGCTTGTATAAACCAGTGCTCCCGAGAAGGGAAAGGCATAGGGAAATTAGTATACCTAGGAGTAAAGAGTTAGCAATAATACCAGACCAGAAGTGTTGGAATAAAAGGCTGAAGAGATTGCTTAAAGCTGAGTACATTAAAGCTCAGAAGTAGAATAGCTTCAGGAAGGAGCTATCTACAGGCCTAGACTATAACTTAAAGTTACAAGATTTGAACCTACCCCAGAGTTGGAGACAGGCACTGTCATGTCCATACTGTGTGAGTAACATTTTTGAGCATGAAGCATGTTGTGTTTTTGGGGGGACAAAAAAAAAGCTGTTGTTTTTCTTGTTAATTTATAAAGGAGTGTTTTATGATTAATGGGATTATACTTGTACTATGTATTTTTAAAAATATGAATTTGTATTAAAAGTAGATGGATAATTTTGTTATTTTGATTTCTTTTGTTTTAAAAAAGGTCTGTTTTATTGTTGCAGCAAAATCTGCAGCATTGCATACATACGTTTCCGTGAGAGAACACTTCATTAAATAAAACTTTGCTCAAGTTTGCCCTCAGACTTATAATTAAAGGAAGGTCAATAAGTGCTGCAAAATATCTAAAACTGAATTAATACATTGATTGTCTGGTCAAGTTAGGCAATTAATTTTGTCCACCTTTGCAACAGGCAATTGAATAATCGTGGAAACCTTCATAAAATATTTAGCTCAAACTTTTGTTGCATGTAATGCAGTTGGAAGTGTCAGATCTTTTGGTGTGTTTTCATTAAAGTCCGAGAGACCTGATACTCACCAGCCTGGATACCATCAGAGATACACAAGATTGTCCAGTTATGGAAAGGCCTACTTTAGTAACTTTGGAGAGCAATTTACATTCTTAGAATAGTGTAAAACCAGCTGCTCACTGACAGTCAAATTTTGAAAATGCTTTTATTGCTAGGATTCAATTTCTAAACCATCATTCTGTTTATAGTTAGTTATGTTTGCTATAATTATAAAAAAGGCAGTGATGAATTTACAAGTCAAATATAACTCCATGAGTTTGTTCCAAAAAAGTAACAAGCCTCGTTTGTAATTCATAACATTCATTTAACTGAATTCAATGTTTTTAAATAGTTATGCAGTTAAAGTAGTTAATATAAACTGAGACAACACAGTTTGGTAACTGGTCACTGGGGTGACACAGTGGCTCAGTGGTTAGCACTGCTGCCTCTCAACACCATGGACTGGGTTTGATTCCAACCTGTTTGTGTAGAGTCTGCACATTCTCCTTGTGTCTGTGTAGGTTTCCTCTGGGTGCCCTGGTTTTCTCTCTCAGTCCAAAGATGTGCAGGTTAGGTGATTGGCCATGGGAAATTGCCCATAGTGTCTAGGGTGGGAAATTCAGGGATAGGGTAGGGGGTGGGTCTGGGTGGGATGCTCTTCAGAGGGCTAGTGCGAACTTGATGGGCTGAATGGCCTGTTCCTACACTATAGGGATTCTATGATTTTTCCTACATAAAAACAGAGATTGCTAGAAAAGCTCAGCAAGTCTGTGGAGAGAAAGCAGAGTTAACGTTTTGGGTTGTGTGACCCTTCCCCAGTTCTGAGGACTAATGCTGCCAGACCTGCTGAGCTTTTCGAGCAATTTCTGCTTGTTTCTGATTTATAGCATCTGCAGTTCTTCCAGATTTTAACTATTTCTCCTTTCCTGGTTTCCCTTACCCTGTACAGCACTTCCAACTGAAAGAAGATTACAATTGTTATCGGTGAATTTCAACAGTTCTGCAAATTTCAAACTTAATTTTTTGTATCATGATACACTTATATTCCTGGACTGCTGGTGCGTTTTGGTGCCTTTAACGGTATGAAGAACCAATTCGATAAGTGGCCTTCCCTTCACTGTATGGGAACATTATTCTACTAGCAATAAACAGAATTGCAGAAGCGGACAATTCCGAGCTTTCAGCTGTTCGGTTGAAGGAAGTAGACCGACATCACCACCAACATCGAATTGAAGTTCATGGCCTGAGCATCAAAGTTGAAATTCAGCTCCTTTGTTTGCCCTTGTGTTGTTGCCATGAGAGATAGAAGTGGGTAAATTCCTGGACACTGTAAACTGCAAACCACCACACCACTTCAAACAAAAGCTAATGTGTGATATGCATGCTAGCCACGGCTCAGTAATTAGCACTTTGAGTAAAAAATGTTATTGATTCAAGTACCACTGCAGGAACTTGCATACCAAATCTATGTTGATTCTCCAACTCAGTACTGAAATGTGAGAGGCATCCTTTTGAAGGCAATGTTAATCTCAAGTGGTAATTTTAAATTCGAAGTTGAACTTCAGACAAAGCTTTCCCCTGGTCATGGACAATATTTATCCTTTGGTCAATATTGTTTTAAAAAACATATTTTCTTGCCATGGCTATGTTTTGCTTGCGGGAGCTTTCTATGCACAAACCAATTGCCTTGATTTTTACATTGCAACCAGAACTACACTTCAAAGATAATTAATTTGTTGCAATATGCTTTGGGAAATCCTAAGTTCATGAAAGGTGCTTTATAAATGCAATTTATTTTCTTTCAATGTGATGTGCAACATGAGTGTACTGAGCTGTACAATTTATTGGTGCACTTGTTTAAAATTTTTATCAGTCACGGGTCAGAATTCAATTGGAGAATTGAGTCCAATTCTGGTCAATATACCTTATGAAAGAAAGTAAGGCCTTGGAGAGGTTCTGATGAAAATTTACCATGTTGATACCAGGGCTGAGGGATTTCAGAGACTAGACAACCTAAGTAGTTCTTCTTAAAGCAGAGAAAAATAAGGGTAGATTTAGTAGAGGTCTTCAAAATTATAAAACACTTTGATAAAAGAAATACAAAATAGGAACAGAAATAGACCATTTGCTTCCTCAATTGCTCCACCATTCAAAAATGGCGATGATCTTCAGAAACGGTGTTTTGAATTCCACATTCCCATTTACGTATTTAATCTTCAATTCCCTTGTGAAAGAACAATCTCTCCATCTCTGCCTTTAAGAATATTTAATGATTCTGCCTTCTCTGCTTTCTCAGGCAGAGTTCCATATTTGCACAACTGTCTGAGAGAAAAAAAAATCTCCTTTTCTCTCTCCTAAAAGGGTAACAACAGTGCCCCTAGTTCTGATCCACAAAGAATCATCTTTTCCACCTTCATCTTGTTAAGATCATTCAGGATCTTGTACGCTTCAATCAAGTCACTCCTCCTGCTTCTAAACTCCATTGGAAACAAGTCCGGTTTGTCCAACCCATCCTCATAAGACAACCCACTTATTCCAGGTAGCAATTTAGCAAACCCCTTCTGAGCTGCCTCCAGTGCATGTACAACTTCATTTTACTCAGAACAAAACTGCATAGTGTTTGAGATGTAGTCTCCTCCTCAATATCCTATATAAGTGAAAAATACCATCTTTATTTTTCTGTTCAATTCTTTTCATAATAGTGTATCGAATCCTATTAATCAGGTGTTGTACCTGCATGCTAAATTTGTGACTTATCAGAAGAACACCCAAAGCCCTGTGCATCTCTAAATTTGGCAGTCATTTGAATTTAAATAATTAGCTGTTCTTTCTTCTTCCTGATAAAGCAAATTCACATTTCCCCAATTTTTCTCCATTTGCAAAATTTTTGCCCATTTACTCAACCTCTTGATTTCCGTTTGGAACCTATTTGTGTCTCCTTCACAACATACTTTACACTCTGTTAGTTTCTATTCACATTAGGAATACTAACCAAGTACATAGATTTCAGAGTATTGATAAAAGTACCAAAGGAATGATAATGATCACTTGTTTTTCAAAGTTTTATGATCCATATGTGATAAGGAAAGAACCAGGAAATGTGATTAATTGGATAACACTTCCCAAAAGCCAGCACAATGACAGTGCTTTACATGATTCTGTGATTTTATAAGCTGAAAGGTTCAGTCAAGTTAGGATTCCAAAGAAGTCATAAACAACTCAATGTTGACTCTGTTTTTCCTTTCTGTAGCTGATACCAGGCCTGCTGAGAGTTTCCAGTGCCTCTTGTTTTTCATTTCAGTAAAATTGACCCATTCTGTCCATTTGCTTTTGTTTTGGGATTTTATTTATTGGGCTAGCATAATTTATACAGTCATTGGATTGTGTTACACAGGGCGTAGTAATGTTAATTGTCAAAATAGTTTAAAGCCAAAGTAGTAACTTTGTGATGAGAGGACTATTCCACTCTTTGAGGTCCAGCAGCATGGAAAGCTGATTAGAGCGCAGCCAGCCTTGGTGTGATACACGTTAATGTTCTATTCACCCAGCTGGCTAAGTGCAGATAGGAAGCATTTCTCATGAATAAAAATCCAGCTATTAAACATTTTGAATTATCTTGGGAAGACAGACTTTGACTTATTCTTTCCAGTTCCACACTCTTCCCTTCCCTCTGACCACGTTGTAGCTTAGTTAAGGACTAGAGTTCCTATTTGTATTCGGTCTGGATTAAATTACTTTACAAGACACAAGCCTTGGTCAGTATATTGCATAGATTATGGATCTTACATATTTCAAGACAAAAGATAATTAGAGATGACATTTCATTCTGTTCATCTGTACTTTTCACTTCTAACAGTTGATATGCCCAAATTGGTATCATTTATATTTCCAATGTATTTGTTCCCATCATTATCTCAAATCAGCATGAAGACAGTATCAAATTTTGTGACAGGAAGTCTGTTGAATCCTTTTTATTATAATACATCAGTTATAAAGCACTGGAGGGTGAAATAGCTTTTAATACTTATCCTAACTTCAGTAAAATCTTGAGACCAGTTATTGTTTTAATGATATAGTTTTTCTAATCTCAGCTCCTTGGAAGCTTTGAGCAGTTTTCTAAAGTTAACATTTTATATGCTGGTTATCAATTACAAACTAAGAAATGCCACCTTGGTGAGCTCCAAAATAACCATAATTTACTCAGAACTGTAAAGATTTATATTTTGACTGTCTCAGCGAAAAGCCTGGCTGTACATAAGATGCTGCTTTGTCCTTGGTATGCAAATGAACTGATTATTGAAACTTCTGTATGTAATTCTGGAATATTAGCTTCATTGATATTGAAATTAAGAAGTAAGTTAATTGTGGCTGTTTTACCTGCTATTTCTGTTGGACTTATTTCCCAACCTTTATTGGAGTTTCTCCCCCTTCATTCTAACCTTTGTAGATTGGATTGCATCTTTTGTCATGCTTTTTTTCACACCATGTTTGTCCTTTCTTTGCTTTAACATGCTGTCTCTCTGTCTCACCGTTTCATTTTCATCCACCCATACTTAGAGATTTAGAATACAATTCTTTACTTGTTGATCAGGCTTGTTCTTGGACCCCTGCACCATTAAAATGTCCCTTACTTTAGTCTACAGCAGGTGATGCCTGTGAACTGGTGAGTTTTGGCCCAATGAGGAAGCAGTCCCATCATTCCAATCAGAGAGATTTTGAATATGAATTTTGTTGCGTAACAGTAGGTGTTGTGAAAGAGCTTGAACAAACATAATATCAATATCAATATCAATGTCAATATCACAAAGTATAACTGATGTGACACTAGGGTTGGAAACATGGTGAACAAAAGCTTAGCCTACGATTTATACAGCATTGAATCCCTACAGTGTGGAAGCAGGCCATTTGGCCCATCGAGTCTACAACGATCCTCTGAAGAGCACCCCATCCAGACCCATTCCCCCATCCCATCCCTGTAATCTTGCATTTCACTTGGAAAATCCACCTAACGTGCACGTTATGGCACAATTTAGCATGGCCAATCCACCTAACCTGCACATCTTTGGATGTGGGAGGAAACCAGAACATCTGGAGGAAACCAACACAGACATGGGGAGAATGTCTGTGTGGAATTTGCACAGTCATCTGAGGGTGAAAGCGAACCCAGGTTCCTGGTGCTGTGAGGCAGCAGTGCTAACCACTGAGCCACTGTGCCACTCCATCAACAGAGATCAGGCACATAACCAGGGTCTGGGAATAAGGAGGTTGTAAATCAGGACCCAATAACGGGGTTCTGAAGTGCTTTGGATGGTGGGGGATTCCAAGGCTTGGGTCAGGACCAGAACTTGAACGCAGAATTTCTGTTTGTGTGCCTGCACACGAGTGCAAGGTGAAATCTACATTAGGGGTTTTGCACTAAATTTTCTTCAGTTGGTGGAGCTCTTTGCTGGATTTCTGGAAGTGTTTTCTGTCAGTTTAGGAATGAAGCTAGCAGGGCCAATGTGACTACGTGATCTAAGTGAGGACTCAACTGTTGCATTGCCTCCATGACTGTCGACTGGCCAGGAAGTTGTCCAAAGTAGGAGAGTGCATCTCCTATGAAAAGAGAGGAGGAGGTAGGGAGGAATGTCTTGGACCCCACGGAGCTGGCCACAACATCAGGAAATGGATTGTGAAGCTTCTCTTCCACTTCAAGCAACTTCTTGTCACAGCCCAAGACCCAGCAACCACTAGTCTCCAATCCAATTCAGAATCCTCATCATAAAGTCCTTTTACCCCAACATTCAACAATAAACACCACCAAAAAAATTAAAGATATTCTGAACAGCAACACCGCCAAGACCGAAGCAACAATGAACTAATTACCAGGCTGTAGGTGCCCACACTTAGGCAAGTGCTCTGACTCCCTTCCACTCCAATGGCTACAGCTTGCCTATTGCTGACTTTGAGAAGGGGAGACTATGGATGGCCATGTCTTTTGAGTAGCTCTGGACCTAGACTGCCTGACTTTGCCTGCACCTACATGGCATGGGTGGCAGAATCTGGGAGCCATCATCATGGTGGAGTGGCAACAGGTGGGAGCATAGATGCTGGCATTGTGTCAGGGATCAAGAGGTTCATGCTGCATGGAGCTACTGGTGCTCCTCAAGGTGGGCAACATTAAGGATAATAATGGTCTATTCGAGCTTGTTGAGCCACTTGAGATCTACACCCATGGTAACAGTAGTCTGAATATGCAAGCCAGCCAGTAGGAATCAGCCTGAATTTCTGCTGCTGCATTCAGCAAGTCAAGAGGTTTCCACCATCGTCGCAGTAAATATGAGAGAGTGGCCTTGGAACGTTTCATTACAGTTTGATTGACTGCTGCTAGCACTAGAGCAGCACAGTGGCTCAGTGTTAGCACTGTTACCTCACTCTGCTAGGGAGTGGGTTCGATTCCAGCCTCGGGTGATTGTCTGCGTGGAGGTTGCATGTTCTCCCCATGTCTGCCTGGGTTTCTTCCAGGTGCTCCAGTTCCTCCTGTAGTCCAAAGATGTGCAGGTTAGGTGGATTGGCCATGCTTAAAAATTGTCCCATAGTGTGCTGGGATGTGCAAGCTAGATGGATCAGCCATGGCAGATGCAGGCTGGCAGGGATAAGGTAGGGGTCTATATCTGGGTGGGATGCTCTTCAGAGGGTTTGTGTGGACTTGATGAGCTGAATGGCCTCTTTCTGCACTGTAGGGATTCTATGATTCTCTGCTGTCATGGAGTTGGCCACCACGTTCACGATGCTCTGTACTCTGCCACTTTAGAAACATAGTCCCCGTGTTTCCAGACAGTAGCCAGTTGCCAAAACACAATGTCACAGCTAGCCTGGGGACAGTATATCAGTGCTGGAGTCTCTCAGCCCGACACTACTATCTGTCATTAACCTGAGGTGGGTTGATGAAAATTGCATTCTGTTCATCAATTCAAATGGACTGAAACATGTCTCAAAATCTCCATCTTTGGGTTGCCCGATTCCTAGATCCACGTCCTTAACACTCTTCAAAAACATTGTGAGGCTTTGAGCCAGTTCAGCTAGGCTAAGATATGTTGAGCCATCAGTTGAGTGTAGTTTGCTAGATTTAAAGTTTTCTGAGGTCAATGTGGTTCAATTATATTAACTTATTGTAAGCATCTATGTTTTAGTAATTAGAATGTACTTGTCCTTGAAAGCTTGTGAAACTGCGTCTGATATTGAAGTGTACATTTACACAATTGGTGCCCAGCTCAGTGCCTCATTTAATGGAAGCTCCAATTAAGAATTAGATTGAGAAAACAGCACACCCACTACAAGAAAGTCCTGACTTTCTACTCATTAAGTGCATCACCAGAACATTGGGAGTGTACAAATTGAACACACTGACTGCCGTATTCAATCTTCCAATTCATGTTCTATTTGGCAAAGCTATTTTGTCGTGTAAAATTTACAGTGTAGTATAATTGCAATCTAACCCTGGAGTCAGGCCTAATCGGAAAGCAGAGGATCCTGGGTGAAGGGTGTCTTATTGTGATCTCCAGTTGAAACTCAACTCCACATGTACACAATACAAGACTGCACTGCACACAGTTCTACAGTATAAAATGGACAACATTGGAACTGCTTCCTAGTTTACACGAATTCCAATGTTCATTTCCAATGATGTCAAAAGGCAAGATGCATAACTGTTGGATGATCCAATATTGCCCACTTTACACCATCACCAGAGTCTGTTACTCCCAATATGTTTACCACCAGTTCAATGTGCAAATTGTTTTACCTCAATTCTAGAGCTGTTTGCTATAATTGCAAAGATTTGAAAATGCATCTTTCTTGATTGGCAGAAGCACTGATGAAGGTTGCATTAAAGCCTAACTTTGCTGAAGCCCGATGTTCAATGCACAAAGACTATATTATTCACGGATGGAGAGAAGGCCTGCAGAGTTTTGTTGAGGCAGATTAGAATATAATGAATTGATTGCAATCTTCGACTAAAATCAATAAGGTTCCCAAGGTTTCAATGAGAAAGAAATCCAGGAATGATTTGCACTTCAATCTTAAACAGATAAGTGCTGTCTGCTGTGAAAATTTAAGGCACTCCGTATTTTATAAAGAATATTGTAAGCAGCAGCTAATGAGGCTTTTTGATCACTGCTGGACTATGTCAGGCACTCGCATAAGACTAACAGCTCTACATATTCCGACAGAAATGGCATTTATTCAGCAAAATCACTGACATTTCGCAGTAGAGTCATCACACAAACAGTATACCACATGGGAAATAGTACAATGCAACCCACAGGCCCCATTAGATATTCCCAGCCTGTGCTTAGTCTTATATTACGTGCGATTGGTTCTCATTTATTGTAGACATCTTGAATCACATCAGACCCCAGGGGCTTCTCCTTAACTTCATGAAAAGGAACAATAAAATTGCTAATGAATTAAATATTAATTTTAGATGCACACTGCGATTGGACGACTTTGCTCAGAAATGTCCAGCGAATAGACAGATTCAACTTTGTCATTGATGCTGTTTCCCCTAAAATTGTCCAGGAAATTTAATTTTAAGAAAATGTATTTCTGATCAGTTGACTCTGGAGAATAAAGACTCCTGGATTTAATAAGTAATAAGTTACCACGGTTAGACTTTAAGTTGTTAAAACTTTTTTTTTATTTGTAGCTTTGCTAACATAAATCAACACATATTTGGTCATTGACATTTTTGCAGCAAATTAGAGATGCATGCTGGTCCAATTGAACTTAGCCACGTTTATTGCAGGTGGCCTTTGCGTACCATTTGTCATTCACTGTACACAGGTTGGTTTCTCACACCCATAAGAATAGATTTTCCCTTTTGTTGAGCAGCATGGTGGCTTAGTGGTTAACACTGCTGCCTCACAATGCCAGGGACCTGGGTTTGATTCCACCCTCGGGCGACTGCCTGTGTGGAGTTTGCACATTCTCCCCGTGTCGGCGTGGGTTTGCTCCAGTTTCCTCCAACAGTCTAAAGATGTGCAGGTTATGTGGATTGGCCGTCCTAAATTGCCTGTAGTGTTCAGGGATGTGTGGGTTATAGGGCGATAGGTCTGGGTGTGATGCCCTGAGGGTTGGTGTTCATTTGTTGGGCGGAAGGCCCTGTTTCCACACACTGGAGATTCTATGATCTATGAATATTTCTCTTCAGGAAGATGTGTAAGCCTTTGGATTTGGAAATATGATTTTTGAAGACATGAAAACCACTAATTTCCCGTACATGGATCTTTAGATGACCGAAGCCGGTTAGAACAAAAGGAAACACTTCAACATTCCAGGAAGCGTGTGACGATTCCCAGTGCTCCACTCTTCGCCTTTATTCAATATATGGTGCAGTTCCTTTCTGTATAATTTCTGAAACTGCTAAAGACATTGCCTGGCTTCCAGCAAAACTTTGTGTTTGCTCTGATTAATCAATTCCTTCAATAGCGTTCATCTAGAAGCAAGACACAATAATATTCTTTGTTATGGTATTCATTAAAGGAGAGTGATATTCTCCCCTGGAGAGTTACGTGCTCAACATTCTGTGGCAGGATTATTTATTCCTGACTGGGGGAAGTCATTAATGAAACTGTCTTTTTACCACATTGGTTAATATGGCAGCTGTAATGCCAATCATTGAAGCATCTGGAGAAGGTTAGAGGAGCAGGGATTGTTCTCCATGAAGCAGTGAAGGTGACTGGAGCTTTAGAAGAATTATCCCAGATTCAGAGGAGATCTGATCTGGTTAGTGAGAGAAAACCATTTCCATTGGCAGTTGGGTTGCTGAACAAAGGACTCAAATTCAAGAATTGTAAGAGATATGGAGTTTTTTTTAAACACAGTGAGTTGTAGTGATCTGCACAGTCTGAAAGTGTGGTGAAACAGTTATTAACTTACAAAAAGAATTTGGATATGTTGCTGAAATGGAACAAAACG